ATTTATGTGCCCTGTTGGAAAGAACCCAGAATCGGAGTCGGTATGTCTTGAAATGCTAAGCATCATGGGACACTGGAAACTGAGTCACGCTGTATCTGTGAGTGCTATTGTTCTCTCTTTGATGAGCATCATATGTTTCAATATTTGTCCAACCTCAGTGAAATGGCAAGGAGATCTGTCAGCCTATGAGCTAGCCAGCTTCAATAATCCTGATCAAGAAGATGTACCCCGTGCCCAAACGTTCAACCATTTTACCTTGAGTGATCATGGTGATGTCTATGTTGGAGCTGTCAATTGGTTGTACAGGTTGAATAGTAGGTTGGAACAGATACAGAATGCTTCAACGTGTGATGACAGTATGCCTTACAATGGGATGCCGTGTCGTCGTACAAATAACTACAACAAGATACTGGTAGTTGACAGTACTCGGCCGAACAGTCTGATAGCCTGCGGTGGTGTGTTTCATGGTAGATGTCAGTTACGACAGTTACAGGATATTAACAATGTAATTGGTGAATCAGTCCGCGATGTTGCAGGGTTCAGTGATTCAACTAATGTCACTTTGGAACCGCATACAAGGTTTGCGCAAGAAACGATTTACATTGCTGTTACTTACACTTGTTGAAAATGTAAACGGCGCTCGAGGAATGTTTCCGCCCATAATGAGACGGAACTCTGCAAGTAGTTCTATTTTAGCAGCTTCGGAACACAGTGATGAGATATTTATTCAGTGATCTTCCCAGAGTGAATCATTTTTATATTAAATATGTTTCAGCGTTTGACTACAGCGAATTCACATGTTTCATTGCAACTCAGAAGGAGGATCTGAATTCTCCTCAATATGTTTCAAAGATTATTCAAGTCTGTCGAACAGGCTCAAATCTGGCGAAAAAATACACACAGATCACCATTCAGTTCAGTGGATTAGATGGTAGTGTGTACAGCCTGGTGGAAGCAGCTCCAGTTGGACCAGCAGGACTTGATCTAGCGGCATCATTGGGTCTTCATCCACACGAGCGGGTACTGTATGCTGTGTTTGCCAAGAACCAAGGAGCTCCGGGTACCAGTGATATACCCACCAACCACTCAACATTGTGTGTGTACAGGATAACTGATATCTTGGCTGGTTTCAGAGAAGCAGTACTAGGTACTGCCTAGAGAAGCAGTTTAACTGGCTGTATTCAGGATGGAGATGCATACTCTATAGACTATTTAAAAAGATCTCTTGGTAATACTTTTGAGATAAGTATCAAGCAGTTTTCTTTGGTTTACAGGTGCATAACCACTGATTTTGCTAACTTGAGCGTACAAAGGGGAAAATAGAAATATTCTCTTCAATTACCACATCACAACCGTTGAGGTTAAAGTTAAGACTTGAAAGCCCAACCTTGCATTCAGGATAACTCGCGAGTCCAGACATTTGTACCCTCGCCTTAAATAACTTAGTATTAACGATAAAAAAAACAACGTATTAGGGTATAGGACGTATAAGTTGACAGTATAGTATTCCTCACATACAATTGTCAATTACCTCCAAGCAACAGTACTATCCACGTGGGAGTTTTTATTGTTGAAGTTGTCATTACTCCTTACAGCATTGCGTCAGTTGGCAGCAACACCAAAACACAATTTGAAGCTCAGGTAAGGTATGAAAGAGCAAACCAGTCTGTCAACACAGAAGTTTTAAATTCTTCATCTGGGAAAAAAATTCGCAAACCAGGCACTTGTAATGCAAATTCTAACCCATTGTCCATACCTGGATCTCCTATTCCAAGTCAGTATAAAGAGCCTTCCAGACTCCGATAGTGGGCTCCAAACAGTATACTGTTACATTGTGACAGGAGTATAGGTCTAACAAAAGGTAACTTGCAAGAATGAATATAAAGCAAGCTTAATCTGAACATAACCCTTGATAACGTAAGACATGAACAGCCGACGAGTAGCGTCATACAGTGGAGGGGAGTTTAATGAGAGCAGCATTCCGACGATGTTGATGATGTATGAAATACCAGCTTACTTCCATTCACAACTTACCGGTAAAATTTTCTTAGTGCTGCAATTTCGTTTGGAAAGGCAGCCACCTTGGTGATTAACGAATTGAGGAGGCTGAAAAACATGGCATTTCCTGATACTAAACTTTACTATCCTCTTGTCAAACGTTTGAATGTCTTTTGGCATCAAACATGTTAATTTTTTATCATNATGGAGATGCATACTCTATAGACTATTTAGAAGGATCTCGTGGTAACACATTTGGGGTACGTACAAAGCAGTTTTCTTTGGTTCACAGGTGTATAATCACTCTCTCCTAATAAGTGTACAAAAGGAGAAAATAGTAATACTCTTTTCAATTACCCCATCACAACCGTGAAATGTTAAGACCAGAAAACCTAACCTTGCATTCAGGATAATTCGCAAGTCCAGATATTTGTACCCTCGCCTGAAATATTATAACAATTTGTTATTTTTATTGACGTTAAAACAAACAACGTATTAGGCTATAGGATGTATAAATTGACAGTATAGTATTCATCACATACGACTGCCAACAAGTAACAATACTATTCGAGTGAGAGTTTTTATTGTTTAAGCAGTCATTTTCACTTTTTGAAGTTAATTACTCCTTCAAGCATCGCCACAGTTGACAGCAACACCAAAACCAATATCAAGCTCAGGTAAGGTATGAAAGAGCAAACCAGTCTATTACAGATTTGTTAAATCTTTATCCTGAAACGAAAGTCGTAAACCAGGCACTTGCAGAGCAGAGAAACTGAACTAGAACGTATCTGGCCTATGATAGGATAGTAACTGATATCTTTTAAAATATCATTATTCTTCCGTTGAAAACATTTCCTTCGACCATTTTTGTACAAACTGTCTTAAAAGCATTAGTTCACTTTTCAGTAATTACACAGCCCGATCTGATTTAGATTTGTATATTCATTTGCTTAAAGATTCTATTTTATATGAGCATGCAAACACAAGGGGGATGAAACCAAATAACAGTTTTGCGCAAATTCTAACTCATTTTCCACATCTGGATTCAAAGTCAGAAAGAGCCTTCCAGACTCTGAAAATAGGCTCATAACAGTATACTGTTACACTGACAGGAGTATAGGTCTAACAATATGCAACTTGTGAGAACGAATTTAAGCCAGGTTTGATCTGAACATAACCCTTTATAACCCACCTGAACAGCGTCATACAGTGGAGGGGAGTTTAATAAGAGCAGCTTTCCAATGGTGTTGATGATGTATGAAATACCAGTTTACTTCCATTCTACATCTCCCGAGCGCTGTTTTGCTGGATAGTGGGTCAAAATTTCTTAGTTTTGAAAATTTCGTTTCGGAAAGGCAGCCGCTTTG